CATCATAGCATTTTCCCACTTTTCCACTTTTGTTGCTTTCCTCTCAAATTCAATCACTAGCATCATCATCATACAGAAAATTGCACGAATCATGGCACCTTCACTTCCCAAAGGTTTCATCGTCTCCTTCCGGTTTATTTAACGAGTTTGATGATTATGAAGTAAGTAGGCAACATAAAAGAAAGAACATCAAAAACTGCTAACTAAAGTTCATGCAAGAGACGAGACTAGCTTAAAGTTCCCATGGAAGGGAATTACAGTAGGTCATAATTTATAACTTGGTAATTTTTTCAGGAAGCACAGATTCTACTACTGTTATGGTCGGATTAAATTTGAATAGCTTATGGTAATTACAGTAGAAGCGCCAAAACTAAAGCTACGATCAAAGACAGCAAAATGAGTTGCATTACAATGTCAAAAAGGCTGAAGATCCAATCTTCTTCATTCAGCTGTCAGCTTCTTCTTTGACCTTTGCTTCCTTGAAAATGCCATTGGTGACATAAAAGAAAATTCTTCAGAATCAAATCATTGACAAATTAAAAACTTATGAAACAGGCTGTCTCTTCTCAAGCATGACTGCTTGGCAAACAGCAAGTCTCTTTTAAGCTTTAGCAAAAGGAGATGTAACCAAGGTAAAGTGTAAAGGAGATTTCTTATCACCAACCTTGCTGCAAACATAAATGTAATGGATGTCAGCGTACTTTCCAAGTACTGTTTCTACTGAGCTTGTATCCTCACCCAATGGAATAGGGTCTGTCAACTCCCTTATTGGTTGGCCAGGGTCTTTTTCCGCCACAAATTTCTCTGCATGTTAAAGATGATGAGATTAAAGCAGAATCTGGAACTCATTGGCCATGACTACTCCATAAGAGTAAAGAAGAAAAGGGAGGAAGATTCCATAAGAAGCTTCCTAGCAATCACTTAACGGGTTTGAGACTTACCATTCATCAATACTATATACACCTTTCATTTATATATATATATATATATATATATATATATATTTTATTTTCATTTAGTGCTGTGGCTTTGTAATGATGGTGGGGACCGTGATTAGGTATGTTAATATTAAATGTGAATATTATGTGGTACAGTGAAATAACTCTACCAGTCTGCCGCTCCAAACATAATGTGCCATTTAAACTACATAACACCTACCATTCTCTCCTACCCCAAAACTACCAAACAAAGCAATAACAATTTTCCAACAAGAAAAGAGAAAAAGAGAGAGAAAGAAATAACAATCATGCACTTTTTTTTCTTTAAAACTTCTGCTCGGGATTGATTTCCTTTTTCCTTATACTTTATGCAGATTTAAAGCTAAGAAAGTTCTGGCAAATGTCATTTAGGAGAGGACTTCATAAGCTACAAAAGGAGGAGAAAACAATCAGAACAAGGTAGTGATCCCAACCAAACCACTGAAATATATATCCCTACATAAATTAGAGCAAAACAGGAGTGATGTCAACAATATATGAATTAGAATAAGAATTTAATCAACCTATCACGTGTAATTTTATGCTCCATAAGGACGATTCCTTCAGCAAGGGGAGACGATATGATGGAGCTCCATATGTTATCTGCAGCACTTAGAAGATCAGTATCAGATGGAAACACACATAGCAAGTTTAAAACTGAATAAAGAATCACATCACATTTATACCCAAAAGAAGATTTTGATAGAGAAGGATCGTAAAAATGGAGAAGCAATGAAGCAACAAAGGCATAGTCAGAGAAATAGAGAGAATTATAAGTACCAGAATATAGACTCCGTTATCCTTGAGCACCCTATAGTTTGTTATCAACTGCTTCAATATATGGTGAACATATCAAGGGAAAACACAAATTAATGATTTACAAAACAGTCATAGCATCACCATGTCTCATTATACCTCCCAACTTCCTCAAGCATTCGAGTAGCATTCCCACGGGAATTATTACCACACTGCATGGTACACACAGAAATTGGCTCATAAGAAATGAGTTACAAGATAAAAGAAAAAGAAAAACCCAAAACAGAAAAAACAGCACTTACCAAGATAGAATCCAGGGTACCTGAAAAACAACAGAAAACAGAATTAGCAGAACAAATTTCAGGCCAATGACATTGAACAAACAGTCAAACAGATTAGTTGACCACTATTGGTACCTTTATCAATTACAGCATCAAAGGAACCTGCTTCAAAAGTACCCATATCTCTAACATCCATTTCTACATCTGCAATTAGTTAAGAAAATTGCATCACTAACAAAATTTCATTTCTTCACAAGAGAACTTAAATTAACAGGATTTATAATTTATAAGAAAAAAAAAAAAAATCAAATGCAGGGTACATTTTAGCTGTGGACGACTTTGATACTTGTTTTGCATAGCTTTGATGACCACAGAGGATATATCTACATTCACTACCTCCTCGTATCCATCATCCACCATTCCTTCACTGAATGCTGCAAACACATGATTCTCTTTCTTAAATTTTGACAACATTAGTAATAATGAGTATACAAAAAGGACTCGGGATCTGCAGCTAGCTAGAAGGGAATGATTTCTTCAGTGAAGCCGTGCAGGGGTACCTGAGTTACCGCAGCCGACGACGAGGATCCGTTGATGGTTGTGTGGGACGTAGAGGCGAATGAGGGGAGCTAAGGAAGGGTACTTCTGGTACCAATCGAAGGGTCCTGATTCGTTGGCGTAGCGGTTGTTCCAGTACCAGGTCTCACCGTAAGCTTGCGTCGATGATGTCCCGAAAGTCATCTCTTTCGTTCCTGGTGATCTGATCTGGTCTGAACTTCTCCAAGATCACCAGATGAGAGCTGTCTGTGCTGAGGGGTTTGTTTTGTCCAAAACAACAGCAATTGTTCAGTTTATCAGGTGCTGCTTGGAATATCCTGGAACTTCTCCCAGGTGCTCTGACATCGTGCCAAGTGGCTGTGTCGGTAGGGATCAGGCGTCTGAGTCCCGTTTGCTATAGTGGTTTTGAGATAGCAGTTAGCGGTTAGC